CTGGAGAGGACAGGCTGGATGCCCAGCTCCTGCTCTGCTATGTCCAGCATAACCTGGTGGGTCTGAACGGCATCCTGGGGATCCACAGAGTCAAAGTCCCTGTGGGGAGACACGGCTGCCATCAGGGTGGGCTCTGCAGGGTGGAGGGTTCCTGGGGCTCCGAGGCCCTCACACCAGGTCTGGACGGAAGTGGTGGATGAGGGCGCAGAGGGCCAAGCCACTGGTCCAGGAGGTGCTGAAGTTGGTCACAGCCACGCCAGGGTATCCAGCAGTGCTGGCCTGGCACCAGCTCAGCAGCTCTTCACAGACAGCTCCAGGGCCTGCTGGGGAGGCAGAGACAGGGGACACCCCCCACCCCAGTCCACCTCCTGCCACAGCATCTGTGCTTTGACAGGGAAGGGATCCCATGGGAGCAACCTGAGACACCCCCTGTCTCCCCACAACCATCCCTGCAAGTCTCAATAAATGTTGATAAAGCATTTGTCAATATTTCATGGCTCAGCATCAATGCAGGTTGGAGGAGCAAAGAAGGCAGAACCTTCAGAGAAGGCAGAGGGGGATTGTGTCCCCACGTGGGCCACAAGTCGAGGGGATAGAAACCATTGGTGTCACCAGGACAGCCTGCTGGACACAGGCCAGGGCGCAAAAAACAAGGATGGGGAGGAAAATCAGGGCAATGGTGGGGGAGGGGGGGAAGGAATGGGGCAGGACTGGTTGCTCCTACCAATGCTGAGCCGGTTGTCACTCTTGCTCTTGTGGTCCACCTCCGCCATACCCACGAGGTAAAGGTCCTTGACCTGCCCATGGGGACATGCCAGTGGTGGGTCACTACCCATACAGAGCCAATGACACCATGAAGGGAGCTGGCCCTGGCAAGAGGGACACCTGGACACCCCCACACCACTCCCCAGACCCCTCTGCCATCCACAATGGGCAAAGCATTCAGTGTCCTGGGGATTAACAGTGTCAGTCTCACACCCCCTAGGGACAGGGTAAATTAACATCACCCTGACAGCCAGGGAGGCTCGGCTGGCTGGCTGTCCCATGGCAGGACCTGGCCAGGTACCTGGCTGGCTTTGATGGCCTGCAGGTTGATGTTGGAGTAGCGCGTGGCCGGGTCAATGCTGTACTGACTGATGTTCTTGTTGGTGTTGTCTGGGGATGTCTGCGAAAGGTGCTGGTAGATGCTCTCCCTGGGTGCAAGGGACAGGGCTGGCGTCACTGCTACCATCCTCAGGTGCTCCAGACCCAGCCCAGCAGGATGGGGACACTCACCTTTCAGCCAGCACCTCCAGCGGGGGTGTCCCAGCTGCCCACCGCCGCACCATCCATGCTGCGTCGAAGGCGGCAAGGAAGCCCCTGGCCACCCCGGTGCCCAGCGGCCAGAAGGGCTGTGAAGGGAAAGGCAGAGCTGGAGCTGGAGTTGCATGGCTGGTCGGGGCAGCTGGGAGGAGGCTGGGAGCTGCCAGGCTTGGCCGGGGATGAAAGAGGGAGCGGCAGCAGGATGCACACGGAGAGGATGGGTGGCCGTCTCCTTCCCAGCCAGCACAGCTGCGTCTGGGGAGGGGCTGGGCTACTCCTCCATCCTGAGCCAACCCCACATCTCCAGCAGGGCTGGAGAAGGGGATAACCTCCCCAAAACATGCCACTACTGGGAGCCTGCCCAAGGATGGGGGGCACTGGGCAATTGGGATGAGAAGCACTTACAGAGGGGAAATATATTGCAACCAATGCATGTTGCAGGGAGAGGGGGATGGGGGCATGAGGTGGTGCTGCAGGGGAAATTCTCACCTCCACCAAGCAGTCGCCCACCAGTGCCATGAGCAGACGGCTCCCGTTGTGCTCCCGCACCAGCGCTGCATTCTCCGAACGTGTCATGCAGGTGAAGTCGAACATGTCAACATCCGGCAGGTCCCGATGGTTGAGGGCAAACTCCAGCTCGGGCAGGCAGTAGTTGGTGGAGAAGTTGGCAGCTTCTTTGGCATAGCTAAGGAGGGCGTCCCGGTTCACATTCTCTGGGGACAGGAGGCTCTCAATGTCTGCTTTGTCCTGTGGGGATGGGGTGAAGCTGACTGGGATGTGGGAGGTGATGTTTGTCCCTCAGCCTGAGAGCAGCCAGCTCTAGGGTGCAGCTGTGCCACTGCACTCTCAGTACCCTGGAAGGATTTTTCCTGCAGAACAGGCAACAGCTGCTACAGCCCCTACCACCCCAGGGGTGTGCAGTCAAACCAGCATCCACAACTTGCATCCCACTTTCAAAGCTTTCAGTTGTTCATTGCTGTGAGATCCCAGGGCCAGATCCTGCCTTCTCACCTGGAGGATGACCCCTTTCTTGAGCAGGCTCTGCTTCTTGGCCGTCATGACGAAATAGTGAGTGTCATCCTTGTAGTATACGATGTTTTCCAGGTCAATGCCTGCTGACAGGGAAGGGGCTGAGCCAGGGAGGGACACAGGGTGCCCCAGCACTGGGCTCAGACACCAAATGTCCCCTGCAGTGGGGTACCATGTGGGGACATGCACCCCATTACTGGGGACATCCTGGGGCTGAGCCCCCAGCTCCCCCAGGAGGAGGCAGGAGTCCCCAACGCCCCACACACAGGGGTTGGGACCACAGGACCACTGACCTGTTTTGTTGTACAGGTTCTGGAAGAACTTCTGGTTGTAGATTCGGGCCACACCACTGATCTCGGCCACCTCCACCTCAGCCCGGCTGTGGCGGTTGATGAAGTTGGTGGTGATGCCAATGGCCAACTTCCCACGTGTCTCCTTCCGCTTGAACCCTGCAGGGGGGCAGAGGCATGAGCCCCCACCCAGCCCCCCATATTGGCCCTGGGGCTGCAGGGACTCCTGTTGTCACCTTCAGGGACAAATTTGCCACCGCCAGCTGAGATGAGTACATCGAATTCATAGTGGGTGAGGGGAGAGGAACTGGGCTGCAGCACAGCCTGCCAGCCACCTGCAGGGAGAGGGGTGGTCACAGATGTGCTGGTCCCAGGGAGCAGGGAAAGGGCTGCACCTCATGCCCCCCAAAATGACATGCCCTGGGCTAGCAGAGGGCTTGAGGGGCTCAGAGTGGCCACCCACAGCCCTGTCCTTGTCCCCAGGAATGCCACCCACCCTGCAGAGATACCGTACCTGCCTTGCCCGTGGGGGGAGCAAGGCCCTCGAACCTCACATTGATGTGCACCTCCACCCCCAGGAGCAAAGCCACCTTCAGCAGGATCAGCTGGAGCTGCCGAATACCTGGGAGGGGAGAGAGGTGCTCAGGGCTGCACCCCTGGACTCCCCACAGTCAGGGACCCCGGAGCCTGGTCCCCCTGGAACTCACTGATATGGTCCAGTGTGCCAGTGCAGAAGCGCCCGTAGAACTTCTTGGCACCCAGCGCCCGCAGGTCATGGATGGTGAAGGGCCAGAGGTGCAGGACGTTGTTGCGGGAGAAGGAGTCGCGTTTCTCCAGCAGCACCACGCGGGCACCCAGCAGCGCCAGCTCAATGGCCTCCCGCAGCCCGCAGGGGCCAGCGCCCACCACCAGGCACTGCCACAGCACAGGACAGCAGTGGAGGGGGTGGGCAGCCCCAGAGCACGGTCTGGGTGAACCCCCCAGCACTCCCAAAGGCAGCACCTCCCCGCTTGTGGGGCCTGGATCTGGCCCTCCTCAGTATTCCCCTTTTCTGCCTGATTCTCCCTGCAAACCGGGGTGCCCCCCCACCCCCTGAACCTTGCCTTCACACAGGGCAATGGCAGCAATTAAAGCACTGGATGAGACAAGGTGAGGGTCTGCTGCAGCCCTGACATGGGTTTGGTCTCCTGACAGCTTCTGCACAGGGCTGAGACAACAGGGACAAAAAAGCCATCATCTGTGGGACAGGGAACATGTCCCATGGGGACATCCTACTTGGGATGCTCCTGTCTCCCAGAAAGGACTTGACAGCTCCCTCAGCCCTGCCATGGGATGTCCCCAGCGAGTGACAGCTGGGAGGAGGAAGGACACTGCTGGCTGGGTGGCACTGAGGTGGCATCATGCCATGGGGATCTGAGCAGAGCTAATTAACATCCTGTCCCATAGAACACCACCAACCTCCCATCTGGCACATCCTGCATCCTCCTGGGATGAGAGCTAGAGTGTCCCAGGGGATGTTCTCTCCCTGGAGACAAGGACACAGGGCAGGAAGACACTCAAACCCCTCACCCCACATCACGGGTACCTTGGTGCCAGCACAGGCTGTGCCTTGGTCATAGTCCTTGTGCCCAGCTTTCTTATCCAGCTTGCTCCACAGGGCCTTGGCATTCCAGTAGTTGAGGGCAGCCTTGAGGCCGTGGTATAGCTGTAGCCCGCTGCCCTGCAGTCCCAGCTGCTGACATAGCTCTACGAAGCAGCCCAGCACCTCTCGGCACTCCCCGGCACGCAGGAACCTCTCAAAGATGGCATGGGCTGGGTTGCCCAGCTCATTGGCCGGCACACTCATCCCGTGTCACCCAGAAGGCTGGCAGAGGGACAGCCAAGGTCAGCAGGGAGGGGACCCTCCTGGATCCCCACCCCCAAGTGCATCCCATACCACACCTGGTGTCTCAGTGCCAGGTTTCCCAGCTGCAGGTGCTGTTGGGTGGCGATGACACTGACAAAATTGGCACTTTGTGGCAGCAGCTGATGGAACCGTCCCTGGATGCTGCACCCAGAGAACCACGGTGTCACCCTCCCACTGCAACCAGAGAGCCACGGTGTCACCCTGCCACGCTGGCGTCAGGAGAGGGGATGTGGAGGGATGCAGCAGTAAGTGGCTTCCTCCATGCAGCAGGTACCTGCAACAGCCAAGAGCAGAGCAAGTTGTTTTGGAGCAAAGATACCGCTTCCTTCCTCTGCAGCCTCTTGGCCTCACTAGGGGGATGGGAGGGATCTCCTGGCTTTAGGAATCAGCCACACAGCTGCTGCAAAAACCAGCAAGACCAGCCCTGGGGCCGGAGGGAGCAGGGTTGGATCCATCCCACCAACTTGGCTTCTGCAGCTGGAGTCGGGTGACCTTTTCCTCCACCTCCCCTTCTACCACCCCTGGGGCGGGTGGAAGCAATTAGCACAGAGGAAGCACCAGCGAGGAAATCAAATAAAAGTCAAATCACCCTACAAACAGCCTCATCATGCCACTGAAGCCGTGGGAGGAGGGGTGCAGCACATTCCCGCTAGGCCTCCCCAAACCCCTTGGCATCTCCCAGGGGACCAGCTCTCCTTGCATCTGTCTCCCACTCCCAGCACTGCCCCGAGCACCAGCCTGTGCCCTCTGTCTTGCCAGCCCGAGCACGAGGAACAAAGTTTTGCTTTTTCCGGCCACTGCGGCCAAGGCCCGGGGCTGGGAAAGGCTCGGGAAGACAGAGAGCTCCCACCTTTGAACCACCGCTCTTTGCCCTCTCGCTCCTGAGTGTTATCGTGGCACACGGAAGGTGGCGGCCACCCCTGCAGTGGGACAAGGGTGCCATGAATAAATTCGGCTGCCCTCAGGAGGAGAGGGCTGGGGGTGTGCGGAGAAAGGAGTTACTTAAGCTCTTAAATATTGGCTGGAAAGACCGAGTTCTAGCTGGATTTCAAGTTCAGTCTCATTCAGGACTTTCCCAACACCAGAACGTGCCTTGCAAAGCAGTTCTGCAGGTCACCTTCCCTCCAATCACTTCTGCAGGTCGCCTTCCCTTCCAGCATCACACCCAGGAAATCCGGTTATTTTAACCACTTCCTCCCTGGGAAGACATCGGATAAGGCTCCCAACGGGGCACAGCAGGGGCTGGCACCTCCAGAGTGGCAGCATGGGGACAAAGGACATGGCCTATGCATTCATGACAGGCCTGTGAGACCCGAGGACAGATTTCTTCTCTTCCCCCGAGTGCTCCCAGCGGGACAGGATGAGCCTGGGGAAACTGAGGCAGCACTGCGAACCTCCCCAGAGAGTTTGCAGCGCTCCCACCCATCCTTCTACCACAGAGGCTGCCCAGGCAGCACTGCCCCGTGTAGATGGGCTTTCTTCCAGGAGCTCAAGTCACTGCACTGGCACCTGCCAAGGTCACCACACAGCAGCCCCAGGGAGATGGGATAAAGGCAGCTGCTCAGGCTGGGAGCATTTACTCCAGCCTCAGCAGCTCTGAAAAAAGCCCATCTCCCAGCCTTGATTCCCACCGGATATGATGCCAGGGGAGCGTGTTGCCCGGGAAGGCTTTCCAGCCCCTACGCTTTGGCAGAGTCTCAGAGGAGCTAGAACAACAAGCCTTGTGTTACACAGTTTCCTACAGAAAGGATTATCCTGCCAGAACTCTGGTACACTCAAACCCCCTTGAGAACTGCAAGCAAGGTCAGAAACTCCTAGGAAAACTAAGTTCCTGCAGGCTTGATGCAAAACCCCAGCTTTCAGCCCACAAAGGCCAGTGGCAGTGGAGGAGATCACAGCCTGAACCAGGCTGCCTCTGTCTCTGCTCCTTCCATCAAAGCCTTTTGCATTTCTTCTCTTAACACGGTTCCTGCAAGCAGGAGGGAGGAGGGGGGGTTGTAGCCAGCCCTGACTCATCTCATGCCGGCTTTGCTTGGCTGCAGAAATGCCTATGGGGACATCACCCGGGTCAGACACATGGGGAGCACCCCTGGAGCAGGGACACCCCATCCCCCCTTGCAGGTCAGGGTCTCCCTCTTGCCCTTGCAGGAGCAGCAGCCTCTTGGGAGAAGGTGGCGGAAGCTGCTCACGTGCCTTCCAGGCGTATGGAAGCAGGGTGGGAAAGGACTCCAGAGCTAATGGAAGCTGGAAGGATTTCAGCAGATTGCCTTGCTGCTGCTGTGCTGGTTCCCAGCATGGCCAGGCTGCTCTGGGTTTGGGATCCAACCTGGACACCACAAGCCAGGCTGCCGAGCTGGGCTGGTCCCCAGGAGAGCCCTTCCAGTGAAAGGCCAGCGGGCAGGGAGGGTTTCCTGTGACAGCTTGGACAAAGCCCTTGCTTTCAATCACCAGCTGAGCTGGGAGGGTGTCAGGAAAAGGTGAAGGCACTGGAAGCTCTTACAAACGTTTTTTGTGCTCAGGAGAAACATCCCAGGTGTGGGCCTGGTCAGGGATACCACCCTGGCCAACGCTGCGGAAACTTGCCTTGGTTTGGGTGGGTTTTAATCCTTGCAGGGAGCGGAAAATCCCTGTCAGCTCCTCTGGTTTGAGGCAGGGATGTGGGTGCATGAGCACACCCCAGCTTTGCAAGGCCCCAGCATGCAGCTGTAGGGAGAAGGGCTGAGGAGAGGGGACAAACCTGCGTTGCCCTTTGATGAGGATTCACACACCACAGCCTGGCCACGTCCTGGGGAGCCCTGGGCACAAACAACACTTGGGGAGGAGCAAACATGCCCCCCTGTTTTTGCTGCTCAGCCTGTCCCCCCTGCCCAACACCACCCCACGGAGAGACCTGGCTCTTGCAACTGAATTTTGGTAAAAAGAGGAAATCTGGTCACGGCCAGGCTTCACACTCCACATCATTTTCCTCTTCCTGCTTCTCCTTTACCCCAAAGCACATCTGTGATAACGACATCTCCATGATGATGCACAGAGCATCCCTCAAGGATCTTAGCAAAGCTCTTCCCACCCCATCCTACTTATCACTGGGAGCACTGGTGGTTCTGGGAATGGAGGAGGAGAAGTAGGGACTGCTCTCTTTTCCCTCTGTCCCGAGGGCAGCAGAGGTCAGGAGCTGGAGGGGAAAAGCAGCGAGGATGGAGCAGGGAGGACGCCGCTGCCCCCGGGAGAGGCTGTGGGGAGGGGTCAGCCGGAGGAAAAGCTGTACCTTGCCACGGAGCGTCCCAGGGACACGCAGGACATGGGATCGGGGGAGCTGAGCCCTCCCCAGCCCCGCAGAATCACCCGTCGGTTCTGTCCCCCCCGTGACAATGCAGCGATGCTCTCAGTGGGGCGGGCGGAGGGGACTGGCGGTCGGGATTGGCACCGAGCGGGGCGACACGGGGTTGGGGGGGCAGCAGAGCCCTGACACCACCCCCCCACCCCCCCCCCCCCCCCCCGGGACGCGACGCACA